TTTTGCAATAAAACCTTTAGGTGCCTCCTCCTTGTTCCCTCACATAAATCAGTCTCGATAATGAGGCTAATACCACAAAAAGTGGATGAATATGAAGAAATTTTGACGGTGATACCAATGGCATGCCTGAGTCATCGACTACCTTTCAATGGTGAGAGTTATTAATATTTATTAGTAACAAGAAAATCTTGATTTCAAATTTCAATAAAGAAATAAAGTTAGTCGGAATCAAAATAAGATAACTTACATAATGAAGCTCGCGTTGTGAAGTACGTTGCTTGCGAAGCTGAACCTGAAGTGGTTTTCCCAGCTGTTCATTTGCCCTCGTTCTCTGTACTCTCTCTCGGCGAGAGTATGGCCCGAAATAAGCAGCGTGATATACGAATGAAATATGGCGGCGGCGAATTTGGTCCGGGAAAAGAGTTTTGAGTGGGGTCGATTTCGCTTGTTTCAGGAACGCTGTGAGAGGGGAGGGACGTGGTATTTGTCTCGTGTTCAGGGCACATCGTTGTTGGGGAATCCCCAAAAAGGGGGGGTCGTATTTGGGCTGGGAAAAATTTGTTTTGATAGTTGATTTTCGCTTCATGGACGCTGTAAAGGGGGGAGGGGTCGTATTTACTTTCTGGCCTTTCTAGGAGTGGTGGTTGACTTTTCGTGGTTTTCCTGTTTCATGCGTACTATATACCTTCCCCCCCCCCGCTCGAGCTACAAAGTTTTTTGGTAAAGTTCGGGAAGTTTTTTGGAAAAAAAGGGGAGTAGTTGGGGAGAAATCTTGAAAATGGTTGGGGGGGGTCGTGTTGTGTTCGCTGACTTTCCTGTTTCAACATGGTGCTATTCTACCCCCCCCCCCCTTCCCCTCCCCTCGCCGCTCGACCTCGATCAATGAGAAGGAAGGACAGAGGGTTTGGGAGTGGGGGGGATCGTATCAACTCCCGAAAAAAGGAGGGGGGTCGACAGACTCGACTGAAATCCCCAACCAGTGATGTGCCCTGCTCGGTTCGTTTTTTTAGAAGGGAATTGTTTGACATTGTCGGTGTTTTTCTTCTACCACAGCCATGCTTATGCACTGTACTTCCCCCCCCCGGTCGAGCTCCGCACTGTATACTGCACAAATCCTGGAAAAACTAGAAGTTTCGGGAAACTACGGAAAAAGTTGTGGGAAGTGGCGAAAATCTGAGAAGTGGTAGGTAGGATGGGTAAGCGGAAGTCCTATCAAGCCACCTTCTAGGGGGGAGGGAGGGTGTACGGACTAGACCGAAATCCCCAACTAATGATGTGCCCTGTTCGAACCGGTTCGGAATGAAACTAGTTAGGTTAGTTATTTGATTTTTGAAACCGGGCGAGCCTGGGCCCTTTCGGCGCCTCGTCTCGAGTCAGCCTAGCGTTTCACCACAGCCGGGAACGGCCCACACCCGAAGGGGTGCAAAAACTGCGTAGGGGACCTTCGTCATACTCCCCAATGCAACCACCCCATCGACCAGCACCCCCACCATAGTACCGCACCCCCCGAAATAACAAGAGCAGAGCGCGGCCGAAAAATGCCCCGCGAAGGGTCCTCTCCCGAGCGTCCAAAAGGGGCCACACCTGGCCCGTCGAGGAGGACTTGCATTGATGCGAAAGGGTGTAGGACAAGAATACAGTGCATAACAAAAGAACGTAGACACCCCAAACTCCCCCAAACTCCCTACTCTCCCCAAGCACCCTTGATCCTGGTGAAAATAGATCTCCACTATTCAATTCCTTAGGTACGGAAAACCAGTATACTTCGCTCCGCAGCAGCTTGTGGACGTTTCACATTTTTTATTACTGGAAAAATTTCTTTGAATTTTTTGTACCAAAAGTATGAGGACACCTAAGCGAGAGGCTGAGACCATACCCAGGTCAACTTACTCACCAACCTTGGGAGCTTCTGACTGTTGCAATTGAAATCAAGATCACTTTTCATCGTAGTCGCCGGCATTCTAGGAAATAAATGGGCACTTGTCCCAGGTACCTATGGGAATTTTCGTGTTGACTGGAAAGCTCGATCCTTGAGAAATACTTATACAACACACTAATATGAAAGGGTGTAGGACAAGAATAGAGATTTTTACCCATTTCTAGTGTTCTGTGATGACTGCAAAACCGCTTGATATTCTTGGCCTTTCGGTTAATTGAGGGCTGTTCCTTGGATTCATCCTCGTGGGGAATGCGGGTTAATCGCGTTGGAACGATGGGGGTCGTATGGTCGAGAAGGTTTTTTAATTGAAATTTGTCTTCTCATGCGCTTTATATACCAACCCTAATAGATGAAACAGCAAAACTACAATATCTGGTAACTATTCGGAGATGCCTCACACGTTTTTCCGCGGAGAGTTAGGGGGGGGGGGATTGTATTAATGAAATTCCGACGTTTGCTCGGAATCATAGAGAAGCGAACATGGACAAAGGAGGTGCGATAGATTGTGTGGTTAGCTGGGAATGAAGTCAGAGTTGTTACACTACCTGTCGAGTCTGGTACCAATTTATGGACGGAAAGGGATGGATGGGCTCGTGACTCCACGGTTCGGATCTCACTTGAAATGTTGGACAATATTCTGAGGAATTCGAGTGTTAGTGGCGTTCCATGGCGGTTTGTGGTCCATGTGACCACGCCTCACGCTGAACGGCATTGAATACTTCAGCGATCAATCATCCATCTCTCCGCCAAATTTTAAGTATGACTCAGCCGACACTACTGTCACTGCGTGCTTCTGAAGAGACGTAGGGTGCAGACACCCAGCAGTTGGAGGAACGTGGCCAAAGTTGCGGCGGCTCCGTAGGCGAAAGTGCATATATGTCATCTCTGGCTCCGGCCCATCGGGTCTGTGTGCACTAAATGCCCGCTGAGAGGCTGAGAAACTCTTCTGTAATGTGGCCGATGCAAAGAGAGAGGGAATAAACCGCAGAGCCATGTAGCTGATTTCGGGCTAACCTGTGAACATGGAGTAGAGTGGATGTCCAGTGCAGTGATCTGATAGATAGCTTTACTTGGCACGCGCGAAACTAGTTCTTATGAGCCAAGCAAAAAACGTGTTTCAAAGCACTGTGTCACCTATCCACTTTATTAGCAGTGATTTTACACTCTTACAGATGTGGGTCATCATTCTCAGATTGGGCAACGCTAGATCCCAAATATTTCTTATTTCAGATATTTCGAGCTCGAAATGCCACCTTACTGTATGCACAACTAAAAATATTTTTCAAAGAAGTGTATTGTGCTAAGCCGAAAAGCAGCAGACAAAGCAGTTGTGGTAAGCTAGAAAAGCTTTTTTTCGCCTTAAAATTTCTTTAAATTTTCCGCTCATAACTGGGCAAATTTATTAATTGCATTTATAGAGGCGTTTGTGGTGTGTCGAGGCTATTCACCACCAGAAGGATATCAACCCACTTTGGAAAATCCGATGTTTGCTCCCAATTACGGTAGGGCAAATTTTCATCGAATAATTTCTGTTGGGGTATTATTTTGTAGTTATCGTTATTTGGACAAAAAGGGGTACTGTGGCAGTTTATGGAAGCAATGATGGTATGCACGTTTTTGTTAGACGATTACCATCCCTCACGTGTTAAGACAAGCCAGCTGACAAAGTAACGTCTGAATAAGCGACATGCGTCCCCTTCCCCCCCCCCTTCCCCAACCATTGCTACCACGAATTGCGATAACATTCAAAAAATTAAGGTTGGTGATGGATTTCTACCT